CCCCCGCCGCCACCACAGCCACCAGTCCTTGCCTCCCTGTGGGTTGACCAGCAGGGCGATGGTGGGGGGGCCCAGCTGGTACCCGCCTTGGTTGGCCTGGGGCCTGCAGGCTGGGGGCAGCTTCTGCGCTGAGCATCTGTCCCCTGGTGGTCAGTGCATGTCATAGCAACCTGTCATTCCACTGGTCATTCCGCAGTTCAGTAAATTTGCATATTAGCCTTTTATTATATAGGATTATTGATTATATCCCGTGCTGTACTTAATATCTCTATGATTATTTTATAGCTACCAGTGTGTACATATTAATCCCTTCCCCCTTTTCACCCAGCCCTCCAATCCCCCTCCCATCTAGCAAACACCAGTTTGTTCTCTGAGTTTGTTCCTGTTTTGTTCATTTATTTTGTTTTTTAGTTCCACATGTAAGTGAAATCATATAGTATTTGTATTTTTCTATCTGACTTATTTCACTTAGCATAATACCCTCCAGGTCCGTCCATGCTGTCACAGATGGCAGGATTTAATTCTTTTGTATAGTTAATATTACTTTGTATATATGCACCACATCTTCTTGTCTATTCCTCTATCTATGTACACTTTGGTTGGTTCCATATCTTGGCTATTATAATTAATGCTACAGTGAACATAGGGGTGCATAGGTCTTTTCCAATTAGTGTTTTGGATTTCTTCAGATAAATACCCCAAAGTGACACTGATGGGTCATATGGTAGTTCTATTTTTAATTTTTCCATAGTGGCTGCATCAATTGACAACCCCACCAACAGTGCACTAGGGTTCCCTTTTCTCCATGTTCTTATCAGGCACCTCTTAATATTCCACACTCGATAAATAACCATGGAACCCAGAAATGTTCAGATAGTAAGTGGAGCCAGGGTGCAAACTCAGGTCTTCTCACCCTACTGCACAGTTCAGCCTCAGGGAAAGGCCTGGTGGGAGGGACAGGATCCTACTGGATGAGGAGGAGGTAACCGGGCAGAGAGACGCAGGAAGGGTGTTCCTGGGAGAGGGAAAGGCATGAAGTTTTTGAAAAAGCATGGAGGGTTTGAAGAAATGGTGTGAGGAAGGAGAGGCAGGAAGGACACGCCTGGGAGGAGGCAGGGGCTGGGTGGCGAAGGGGCTGTGGGCCCTGTGGGGAAATCCACGCGTTGTCCAGTGATGGGAAACCATGAGAGCTTTGAAAGGAAAGTGAAAGGGGCATATTTTGATTTCTAAAGCTGGCTCTGTTTCAGTGGGAGGATAGGTTGAGGGGGCCACCTGAAGCTGACGGCCACTCAGGACAGTACTGCCCATGCCAGTGATGCTAACCTGAACCAGGTGTGGGAGCCAGGAGGTGACCCGTGTTGCTGGCTGGGGTAGCCGAGTGGGTGATGGTGCCAGCACTGCCACGGGGGACCTAGCTGCAGGAGCAGGTTGGGGACAAGGTGGGGGTTTATTCATTTCTCCAACACATTTTATTGGGTGGACCCCTCAGCACCCAGGGAAGCCTGGTGCCTCGTAGGGGCTCTGCAGATGTGTGTGCTGGGTGGATTCATGAATGGAGAGAGGCTTCTGTTCCCTCCACCCACTCCCACTTCCTAGTAATAATGATTTTTACTCTTCCCTGTACAACCAGCCACTCCCTAATACCCGCCTGGCAGGGGGAGATGTAGGCATGAGGAAGAAGAGACGCAGATAACTGCTTTCTGTGCTACACACTTCTCAGCCCTGGAGGTGGCAGAGGCTGAACTCAGAGCCCGTCCTGACAAGAGGAGCTCACACTCCAGGGAGTGCAAGTACCAGTATCCAGTTCTGCCCTGTGTGGTGAGTTCCTAAGTTCTGAATTCATTATTGCGCTGCAGACGCCAGGGCACTTTAGTTTCCCTTAATTAATTAAAATACCGCATAATAATCTTTCTCTGATTTAATGTTCCAGAGGCCCTGGCGAAGGCTGGGAGTGAGGAAATTCATTAGAGACTGTTCACTGTCGATTGACTTGCTCATTCTTATTAATTTTACCTGCGTCATCCATCCCTGGGGGAGAGGCGAGGGTGATGTTTTCTTAAAAACATAGGATTAAATTCACCATGCAACCTGACCAAAAAAATTAATTTTGACTGAAAATCAGACTTTTTACATTTAAGGTGGGAAGTGGGTACATTTGGGATTGGACACTGGCTTTCAAACGATCTTCCTCGAGCCCAGTTATAACTTAGTTGACGACAGACGGAGATCCAGGCTGCCTATTGCTTACAGCATCAAGTCCAACCTCCTATGGAGGCATTTAGGGGTGTGGCCTAAGCCCTAGTCCCCCCACCTGCCACCACAGCTCCCAAGCAGCTGCAATGGCCACTACTCCCCATTCACAAATGAGGCAGCACTCCTCTAGCCCTGCTTCTTTCACCTGCTGTCTCCTTAGCTAGGAATCCCCCACATCCACTCAAACCCAGCTCAGATGCCTCCTCTTCTCTTCCAGGAAGTCTTCCCTGATCTCAAAGTGGACACCTGTGCTTCCTGGCAGGACGGTGACCTTGTCCCACTCGTCCCAGTCAGTCTCACCTGAGTGCAGGGCCCAGGGCCCTCCCACCTTCACAGAGTCAGTGTCTGCATTCTTCTGGCCTATGGAGAATGGCACGCCTGCATGCATGTGGAAGATG